CGCTGTACTCAGACCCACTGCTAATGTTTATATGTTGACTTTGACTTTGAATCCTGCTACTTTGCTGAATTTGCTTATTAGTTTTTTGGGGTTTTTTTTTAGTTTTATTATACTTTGTATTTACAGAAAATGATTAGGCAATTACCTTTTAGAAATTCTGTGCTACAGTACATGAGAACTGTTTTTTTCTCCACTTTTAAAAAATTTTTTATTTTTTATTAATTTTATTGAGAAATAGCAATAAGACAGTTTCAAAACAGGTTAGTAGGACAGTTTCAATAATTAATATATTGCATATTGTTTTCTTTTTTTTAAAGGAAGAAAAATTTATTGTAACTCACAATTTTTAGATGTTTGGGTCCATAGCTGGTTAGTTCCAAGGCATGGCGGCAAGGTAGATAGGCACTGCAGTGGAGAAGTAGTTCATGGCAAGTACAAAGTAGCAAAGCAAGCAAACCAACTAAGACAATGCTAGCTTTTTTTCTGCCCCTTTTATAGTCTAGGCTTCCAGACTTAGGGGAGGTGCCAGGCCAATCAGTAGAATACTTTACTAATCACACACCCTTAATACAGGCATCACATATAGATTCAGCCACTTCAGAAAAAGCCCCACCTATGACAGCATGAAGCATTGGGGGCATCTAGACACAAGCCCTAACATTCTGTCCCTAGCCCCCCAAAGACTCATGTGCATCACTTTATGCAAAAGGCAGTAAGTCCATCTCCAAGAATTGCCAATATCCTAATAGTTTCAGCATTGATGAAAATTCCAAGTTCAAAATCTCTTCTGAAATTTAAGGCAAAATCAGAACTGAGAGCCCTTATACAAATGAACAGAAAGTTAAACACAGCATACAGTGTCACAAAATAAACATGGCATATCTACTTTGTAAATATTTGATATATATTATATCTAAGTTATTAATTTATTATATATAAATATATTACACTAAAGCTGGTCCTCTAGAAAGCCCTAATCGATATATACTTTGGTACCAGGAGTGGTTCTAGAGAAACAGAATTGAAAGGAGAGCTAAAGCTGTCATGGTGTCTCTTTCTGATAATGTGAAGAGTAGTTGTAGTCTATGGTATGAACTGTTCAAAGTAATACATAATATAGATTCATTTGATTGCATTAATTAATCGCTTGTGAAATACAAGGAATTTCCTGACTGAATATAGTACTTTTGAATATTTTTGGCCGAGTGAGAAATACAATGATGCTGGCTCGTTGCTTTGAGCATTTCTGGATATACTAATAAAGACAAATCATGAGCTCCAAACATGAATTAAGCAATATAAAGTCTTCTAAGTGTGGAACACATTAATAAAGGAAAATAAGGATTTTCAAAAATTCAGATTTACAGCTCCAGACACACATAAAGTAAAAATTTGTGAGTACTGAGTACTGAGTACTGAGTCTTCTCTGTCTCTGTCTCCCTGTCTGTCTCTGTGTCTCTGTGTGTGTGTGTCTGTCTTTCTTTTTTTGCAGTACTGATGATTGAACTTGAGACCTTGCGCTTGCCAAGAAGGCACTTATACCACTGAGCTATCTCCTTGGCCCAAATTTGCTTTGATTTTTTATCTTATTTTTTTAAATTTTATTTTATTGGTACATGTTTATAATATATACAGCCTGTAGAGCTATCAGCAGACAATTATATAAAGAAAATGTGGTATCTACACATAATGGAACATTACTGTGTTATAAAGAAGGACAAATTTGAGACACTTATAAGTAAATGGATGCATCTGGAAAATATCGTGTTGGGTGAAATAGATTAGACACACAAACTTGAATACCAGGTGTTATCTCTCATGAATAAGCCAAAATACAAAATAAGAAAAGTAAGTGAAAGGCGGTTCATTTTTATAGTTTCTTTTTGTTGCTATTTCCCAGAGCTTTGATTGGACTTGCTTGCTTTCTGCGTATTTACACTGAGCTTTTAAAATTATTTCATCAAAATGTTAAAGGAGGCTCAAAAAGAATGCATATTGTTTTTTTCATAGTGGTTATTCATAGTACAAGAAGCAGACACGATATCCTGTCCAAACACTATTAGTACAAATCTTTCTTATTGTATGAAGAGAAAGTAGCTATATACATCATCATTGAAGTTCATGTAGAAATCAGCAGTGAGCCCACTAGGTTCTGGGCTTTTCTTAGTAACTTCTTTTTTATTTCTGCTTCAATTTCCATGTTTTTTTTTTGTGAGATTACTCAGGGTCTTTAGACCTTCTTGCTTAAGTTTTCATAATTAATTTATATCTAGGAATCTGTTCACTTTTGGATTCTCCGATTTATTGGAATAGAGGTTTTCAAAGTAGTTCCCAATAATTTTCAGGATTTCAGTGGTATCTGTTGCAATTTTGCCTTTTTCATTTCTAACTGCAGGGAGTTAGGCTTTTTTGGTAATAAAAGTTTATCAATTTTGTTTATCCTTTCAAAGAAGTAGCTCTTCAATTAATTGATTCTTTGTATTGATTTTTAAGTCTCAATTTCATTGATTCTGCTCCAATCTTTATCATTTCCTTTCTTTTAATGACATTTGGATTTGAATTGCTCTTATTTTTCTAAAACCTTGAGGTACATTGTTAGATTACTTACTTGTATTCACATTGTTTTTCTGATATTGCGATGCATAGCTTTAAATTTTTCTCTTCCCTTAATGAACACTTCATTTACTGTGCCCCCTTAAATTCTGGTATGTTTTACTGGCATTATCCTTTGAGTCTAGGAACTATCTAATTTCCTTGATTTTTTTTTCTTTTTTTTTAATTTATTTATTTATGTGTGTGTGGCCAGCTCAGCCCACCAGGGGGCGGGGCTGGCTGGCATGTGGTGCTGGGGGATTGAACCGCAGTCCCTGTGCTTTGCTAAGCTTGTTCTAAGTAGGTGCTTTAGACCACTGGGCCATCTCACCAGCCC